CTGATGCACATGATGCTCCAGGTGCTTTAATTAGAGCGGCTCTTGGAGCCGCTCTAATTAAAGCACCACCCCCTCCATTCACGGACCAGGTGTATAAGGCTCAAGCATACAGAATGTCAACCTTACCAACAGCACGATGGGAGGGAGTTTAAAACAGAATGCTTTCCTTCCACCCAAATGAAGAGTTTTATACCAAGAAGAATTAACACAAAGCAAGGAGGTTGTACTTTAATCAGATATGGTTTTAATAAATGTACATAAGTTTACAACTTAAACATTTCTTCATAGAGACTAGTCAGAAACATAGATGGAGCACATCTGGAGTGCAACAAAATTACCCCATTCACCTATGAGTCAGAGGTATTTCCAACACCGTGAAGAATGAACCCTAGTGAAAGGGGTTTGAGTGAAGCGCTGGTCTTACCATGCATAGTTAAGTCCAACTCAGGCTTCCTGCAGAATAAAAGAATCTCAGCTGTCTTGGAGAATGAGACACTATGATTCTTTCACTCTCTCAGTTCATGTGTAGACGATTCAGCATCAACTGTATCTAGTGGGTTTTTTCTGATCAAAATTCCTCACCCAGAACAAGCTGGACTCATGAAAAATGTTTACCCCGCCCTAAATCTGCAGAAAAAAAAATTATTAATCCCCCCTTTTGGGGGGGGGGGGCAGGGGTGATCAGCAATTTACCCAACTTCATGGTCAACAAATCTAGATTTAACATCAAGGTAAAGTACTTTCTGCACACACACAACAAATATTAAAGGCCATCATTTATTAGAATCACCAACACAGCTGATCCTAATTCAGGAATGTATTTCAGCAGTGAAACAAGGTCACACTGTCAAAACGCTGATGGTAAAAATGCTTTGGAGTCTTCAGGTATCTTAATGAGGCTTTGATTTAATGTGATGAGAAACAAACAAAGAAAAAACCCACCTCTTCAAAATGAGAGTCTTTGGTGGAAGCTTAGTTCATGTTACCCATTACCACTTCGGAGTGACTGAGTCTAGAGTTTCACAGTTACATAGAGCTCTCTGTTACCTGCTTGATTAATGTAACTGAGGCTATGCCTCAGGCAGTGTTTTTCAGGCTTGATTACATGGGCTTTTTCACAAGCTTAGTGTCTTCCATATGGCTCCATGCATACTGTAGGTTGCAGATTGAGTGTGCACTGGCTTCAAGAGAATAAGACTGTAAACTTAACACTATTATCACATATGCAATAGTACTGAGCTGGCAGAAGGGGAGATCAGACAAAGTTACAAATCTTGGGAATTCTCCGCTGAACTGCACAAGGTGCGGGTTAATACTGCAGCCACTCATGCCTTCTGGTACTGATGATGGTCACTGCGAAGATGCAATGGCCACGAGGCCCACAGAGGCCAGCAGATTGCCTTGCTTCAATTCTTGAGTAAAGATACTGTGATTGTAAGCATTTCTGAGGCACGGGCTTTAACGCAACTCCAATTCAAGTCAGCGGTGAGCTGGCAAGCACAGCCACCGCTTCCAGTTCACAAAAGACACAAGCTTAAGATTGTCAGAGGATTGATTGGCAACTGTCTACTGAGCAGCAGGAAACCCTTACCAGAGATCTTTCTGGCTGTGAATACCTTCAGGAGGGATTGAACCAGGAAAAACCTTAATGATTTGTGGCTCCAAAACACATACAAGCAGGCCCTCAGCAAGCAGAGAGAAGGTAGTCATGCCACAGACCCTTTTCCTTGTAGTCTTGCTGCTGCTGCAGGGAGGTTCAGGGAGCCCTTGAGTTGCAGAGCCTGCTTGGACTCCAATGGCTCCATGCGTTGCTTATTGCTTACAGCCAGCCTGGGGAGTTCACCACACCTTTATTTTGTTCAGCTGGTCACCTATGATGGTGTAGAAGGGCCACTGACTTGAACAGTACTCAATACAGGTAACAACGGTCTAGTGTCATGGATCAGATCACCAGTAAGGAGGGGGAGCAACACTTAGGCCCAGTGAAAGTGGACTTCAGTTGTTTTTGCAAATGGGCTCGGAGCCTGCCAACAGAAATTTAGTTTGGTATTTTTCAAGCTGACATTAAGAAAAAATGACTTAAATTGTTGCATCTGAATGATGAAGGCTTTGTCTAGTTAGTTGTAAAAAAAAAAAGTCATACCAAGCTTCTACCATATTATTGCAAAGACAAGCGGCACAATATATTTTACATGCATTAAAAAAAGTGAAGTCTAGATTCTGTAAGGGATCACAGCTCCATTGTTCAATGAGTAGATCATCATGCCAAGAATTTAGAAGTAGTGTATGTGTGTGGATGGAGCTGAAGGGGGGGGAAGAAATCAGACTGGGCACTGGGATGCAGTTTTCTGATTGTAGCCAAGCTCCACTGCTTACCAGATTGAGTGCAAGAAGCTCATCTAAGCAAAGTGCTCCTGGTTCTATTTAAACTGTGTGCTTGCTGGATGTCTTGGATCAGGACTGTTAGTTTACTGAATACTATTAGCTCATTTTTGCAAAGCTAAACAAAGCCTTCAGGCAAAGCTGCGTGCTTGAAGAAGGACCTGTAACCTGCCAAAACCCTGGCTGAAAATCTAATCCCTAATAAAACTAAAAAGAAGACATTAATTGCTGTAAATGCTCTTTCAACAGCATAACCAGGCCTTTCTCCACTCTTCCTTTCTTCCCTGTCTAGCAAGTTTAATAAGCTGGATCTGAATTACCCTTAGCTCCTGCCTCCACCTTTATCACTGATCAGCTGGTGGGAAAGAGGCACCGGCTCCTTCCTAGCAGCAAAGAGACGTGCAAAATACTTTTCACAAAGAAACGGCGGTTGGACATTCCAGGTAAGGGACATGATTTAGCACAACAGAGCTTGGTAATAAGCTTCATGTCATTGTCTGACATCAGCTTTTCAAGTAAAAATAAAAAGTACACCCACAAAGAACATCATATTGTGAATCCAGTTACCAGAGCGATTTGCTTTTCCCCATTTATGCCAGTGCAACTGCTTACTTCAGTGAAGTGACTTGGATTCACATGAGATTCATCCACATTATCCTGCTTTCTCCTTCCTTCCCAAAATCCCTAATTCAGGACCACACCCCGTCTCCAGACTGTATGCGACTAACAGTGGTACCAATAAACGCAGCATGTATTGGGGCTTTGATGCTAAAAGCCTCCTTTGTATTTCACAGTATAGTATCACAAGCATTCCTCAAGCTAGCATCAACCAACTGGCAAGTTACTTGAGATGAAAAACCACGCACAAGCTAACTGCTCAGTTTAGTTGGAAAAGGTATATTGAGAGAAGCCCAGAAATACACCTACAGTATTCACATTTTCTCTTGTTCCTCAAACAGAGCTGAGGAAAAACTGAAGCTGCTGGCCAGCAGTGATGACACCTACCTTGACATGTCACAGGCCAGCATCAGGAAACTAGATTGCTTTATAAAGGAAGCTCCGATTAGCCTGAGCTGAGCTGGACACTTCACCATTTACTACTAACAACTGAGCTGCCCAAGTTCCTTTGCTCCTGTGTTTCTTGGTTTCAGGTTTCCTCCCTTGCCCTCAGAAAGTTAAATACACCAGCCCAGGTTCTTCACTAGTACGTTCTGTAGAACCCCAGTCAAGTCAGAGCTGGCCAAATGCACCAACAAAATGTCTCTCTTATTCTGCTGGTCAGAATAAGCTCCAGCGATTTGGGACTGGGTGCGAGCGCGGTGGAGGAAGAGCGCAAATCCCACTACACACAAGTATCATTGGCCATCTCCAACTTGGGGACGGGCAGGCTCATTCCCTAGTGCCTTCCCCTGCACTGCAGGGCTGTCAGCAGTGAACCATCCTAATGCTCCATGGTTCATCTTGCATACGGGGACATGCTGTCTCCTTCAGGTACTCCTCACACAGTTTCAGCATTCCTATGGTACTCCTGTAACCCATAGGCTTTTGAGCATTTGGCCAACAGAGCTGGACTTGCATAAATCAGTTTTTATTACACCAGCTTCTTCCGGCATGATGCCACTGGCTTAAGATGACCTGTCCCTGACTCTCATCCAGTGTTAATCAAGGGAGGACCCTCCCTCTCCTCTTCCTGCCCTCCCGTCAGCCATACACACAATGTGTTTACACTTGCAAGGAGTACTTGTCCATCCTGAACGAGGACAGAACTTAAAGCTGCCCCAAAGAGAGCCGTCCTCAAGCTTCTCAGGCCACGGCAGCAAACACATAGCCATGGGTTGAATCGTGGGTGACATACAGGACAAAAAATTCCCCTTGGGTTTCAGCGCAAAGCTCTAGGTTATTTGCTACTAATGACCAGATGAATTAAGGGAACAGTCCTAGCTCTCTAAGAGCCCAATTGAGAGAGACTCAAAAGCAAGCTTTGAAATCAGGCCTTGAAAGAGAAAACCATCATGAAGATCTTCCTGGGCTCTCCTCTTTTCTGTGTATGGCTGCTAAGAGAATTGCTCAGGATATGAGAGACATCTTGAAAAGGAACAGCGCCATTAACCATCAGCAGCAAAAGAAAAAAAATCCTTATAGTTAGACATTTTGGAGACAACTTCACAGCAACATCAAGTGTTTCCTGGAGAGAAACAGCAGTTTGAAGACAGCTTGTTTGGTTCTGATGGGGCTTGCTACCACTCCCATTCTGGGTGGACACACAAGAACATTACTGAGACTTGCCTTTCTTTCTTTAGCAAAAAGGCACAAAAAAAATAAAGCCAACAATCCCTAAAGAAAACAACTCATGGATTCCTACTCTGCTGCCAAAGGTAACATGACAAATAAAGTCAAGTGGCTTCCCCACTCAACAGCAATTACATTTTCCTCCAAGTTCAATACTGTAATTCACTACAACTTTTTTTTTTTGCTTTTATAAAAACTAAGCTGTCTTCCTCTTTAATCATACAGTACAAAACATGGGATTTCTAGAACACAACAGAAGAGTGCAGGAGGAATGTAGCTTGTCTTTAGACTTATCTTAATGAACAGAAAGGAAAAATAAAGATGAATTTAAGGCCAGATCCTTTGCTAGTGTAAATCACTGTAACTTGACAGAAGTCGGCAGAGCAACAATGTATTACATTAAGGAGGGGAGGAGGGGGTTGCCTAGATCAGAACTTCTGTCAAGCTACTTCCAAAGTATTCCTGTTTTAACAGTATTAAGATTTAAAAAGTTAACTCTCCAAATTATAATACGTGAAATGCATGGTTCAATACTTTGGCATAAACCAGATGGAAAATGAGTCAGAACTTCTCATACTTAAAAACATCTTTCAATTTTCCAAGTGAAAAAAAATATGTGCGTGTGTACACACACACACTTTTATATAAGATGACATCCAAAAGATTGCTTTGCCAACATTTCTATAATCAGATGTATTCGGAACTGGATCCAAAACCCCACTGAAACCCACTGAAAGTCTTGGGAGCCTTTTCACTGCCTCCAGTAGGGTTTGCCAACAGATAGACATGTACTTTGAGGCATTACTGAGTAACAATTGTCTGTATGCATAAGGCCAACACAAGGCTATATTTTCACTTATGTGGAACTTCAATAGTGCATAGTCCTCATGCTAGACTTCTGGCAGCTGTGCGACTTTCATTCAACATGCATATATTCTGTAAATACACATACAGTTCATCATCAAGGAGCTATGTTCTCAATCTACCGCTGTTGGTTTGGTTACGGCATTTGTTATACGCTTTTGGGAGGCTTCTACTCTGATCGCTTCCAGAATTCCCCTTGGTAGGAAAACAATAATGACAACCTTTTTGGCCTGTGAACCGATTTCCTCCCCAGAGCATTAGCCAGTCCTGCTTGACTTGCTCTGTAATCCTAGTTGTATACCAGTATCAACAGTAACAAATTGAACAAGGTATTCACCCTGCCAAAGCCAGCAAGTACAAAATATTACTGGTTCAGAGAAGCATCTAAAGAGAAATGGGGGAGGAGGAAAGGTAGCAACTAAAATAGGATGTGAAGACCCTTGAGAGCTAGGCATTCAATAGAATATAACTTAAAATGGTTCAACTAAATATCACTGCAACTGGAGTTTGGAATAAAGGTTGGGGGAAAGTACTGCTCATTGCTCATTTCTACTAAGAGCCTGAAGGTCCTTGAGAGAGAGTTTAAATCAGAAGCCTGTCTCCCATCTCACAGCAGACTACTTAAGGCTTTTGCTTTCCCGATTTGGAAGGGAAAGGTGCTGAAGCAAACGGGTCAGCACTAGGCAGCTCTGTAGTCCTGGAAGAGAGAGAAGCAATAGAGACAGATCCTGCTATTGCCTGTTTGTTGGTCTGAGAAACCACCTTATAAGCTGCTATGGGTTGGACATCCAGACCCTGGCCATCTTCTGGACTGTAGTGACGGGAGTACTTGGATAACGACTGTGGATGGAAAGGCTTGCTAACCGCGGAGCCCAAGAGGGCATCCTGTGGGAGCGCATGTCCTTGGCTTCTGTCATTAGGAACACTGCTATGCTCTTTCAGCGATCCTTTGGGAGGAACACTTTCCTGTGGCTCCACTGCTCTTATGGAGTGAGGTGGAAGGCTTGCTGGCTGAGTGAACCCTACTATAGGATACTGAGGTCTAGCTGAGACAGACGACCCATGCATTCCTGTATCCAAATTTTGGAACACAGCGTTAACGACATGCTGATCATCACCCCGACTGAGGAAAGCAGCAGGTACATGAGGCTCCTTAGATGGGCTGTGTGGCAGCAACTCTTCCAAGCTTTTCTTTTTAGTGAAAGGAGCTCTCAGAAATACATCCGTTTCTTCTGGTTGCCGCACAGCCACAGCACTCTTGGAAATGAAGGGCGCTTTGGAAAAGACATCCAGGTCATCGCGCACTTTTCTTGAGCTTCGGAAAGGAGCTGTGGCAAAGACATCAGGCTCACTGAAAAATTCTCCTGTGTGCGGCTGAAAGGCTGGGAACAATACATCCCCTATCCCACTTCGAGAAGGCTGGGGATTGCCATCATCTTCGGAAGCCTTCGCTCTTTCTTTGGGTACCAGTTGCAACTTACAGGACTCCTCTTCCTCTTCAGAGTCCATAAGTAAAGGCCGGGACCCACTACAATCCAAAATGTCTCCCTCATGGTCTGTCCCTTCTCCCTCGCTGCTATGGAAGGAGCTATTGCTTGAAGGGTCACCTCTTGCTAAGTAGTCAGATTCTGAGCTGTGCTGTGTTCTCACCTCCAGTATCTCAGGTTGACCTTTGTACAAGGAGTTACCATCACTAGCAGCAGGTCCTTTACAGCGCTCAATGGTTACAACAGGGTATACGACCAGTTCCCCCTGCAGACCTAGGAGCGCAAAACAAGAGTGTTACTCATAACTCCACTAAATTCTCTTTGTCATTAACACATATGAAATAAAAAGTGAACTGCACTGGAAATGCTATGATGCTCAGTTAAACCACCACCATACATGGAAAATGAGAAGGAAAGATAATTTAAAAGAAAAGGAAACAATGAACTGAAGTGTTTGCTGCACACAAACTGGAACACAACTCAGCACTTCCTCACAGATCAGGACAGCACAAATACAAGGTGTTAGAAAGAGATGGAAGATGTTAGAGACACAAGCGCCCAAACTCAAACATTCCTGTTTGACACCGTTCTACAAGGAACTTTAAGTGCCACCTGCAACATGGCCTTTATTTCATGATGCTACTGTCTGGAGTGAAATACCAGTGACTGGACAGTTAGTAGTAGTGTTGTTTCATTCATTCATTCATTCATTCATTCATTCATTCGCTGCAGCTGCCTGTTGGCACAGGAGCTACCTACAAGCAGGTATTTATTACTTGGCATAGTCTGTGCTCTTGGGAGCTACCTTGAACTTCCATGAGCTCTTGCACTAGGGCATGTAAAATGCACTGTGGCACCTCCGATCTGTTAGCATAGCACAAGCTTAAAGGTAAGTATATATATCCTTCAGCAAGGTATTCCAAAGATTATTTTCACCGATCTGGTAATTTTAGCAGTGCCACTGGAGTCACTGCAAGAGTATGAGTTGAAACAACCCGATATACTGATTCTAAGTGAAGTATCTAGGATTATTATGATAGATTGGCTTGGTTCTACATGTTAAGTAAAATCAAACCAACAAGGCAGAAAGAGGGGCTTACTATCCTGCTATTCTCTAGTTACCAGAGCCCAAGAATAGGCTTACCTTTGCCTTATGAATCACACAGACAGTTATCAGAATACAAGATATCTTACCTTCAGAGAACTATTAGCAGGTTAGAAGCATGTCATTGGACTCATGTTAGCAAGAGGATAGGAAAAAGGCACATGAAAACTAGGCAGTATAGATTCCAGACAAAAAGATTTGCATTTTGGTATGTGATATCTACTGAGTGACAGGACAGAATGATGCTCTAAACACTTTTCCCTTTACTTCTATACAAAACATGTCTTTCAGTTTCACACAATTACAAAACAATCTCCACACACTGCTCAGATTAAACTTTTTAACATACACACACTCCAAGTTCTAAAATCTTCCTTTATAAGTTATGTGTATTTATGCTAGTTCACTCATTGTCAGCCATTTCTTAAAATTAAAAAGACACACACTCTTTAGTAAGCATCAAAATGATTTTTTTATTGGGAAAGTATTAACTTAGATACATTACACTGCAAAGTGAAGACAGTGTAGCTATAGATGAGCATTTTATAAGTTATTGTACAAAAATACTATCTATCTTCTCTGAAGCCTACGTTTTCAGAAGTGCCTTAAGCTTTCGTGCTATTCTTAGTTTGACTATAGAAATAAGACGACCTAAATTATTTTTTCCCTTTCAAGAGGTTGGCTGTTTATTCACGAAATTCCTGAGCTGGACATTATCGCATGATTTTAAAACAAAGGCAGAAAAAAAGAGCCAGTAAGATTGCCACATCATGCCAAGGTGCGTTTTTTTGTTTGTTTTAGTTATCTGGTTACCCTGGAACAAAGCATACAGGCAAATAAGAGAAGGAAAGAGGGGAGCATGTGCCATGCATATAACATGAATGCAAACCGGCTATCCATTATTTCACTAGCACACCATTGCCACTGTACCTGAATCACTTGATCAGAATAAATCATTCTTCCCCCAATAGCATAAGTTGCCTAATGAATACTAAGCTTGACGCTACCATCATAGATTACAATCTGTATGCAAAAGGTAAGAACTAGAGTTGGGGAAACGTATAATATAATATAATATGAACCCCAATTGGTTAAGGACCGTAGCAAAATAGCAACAACTAGTGTGAATATACAGGGTACCATGTAACAGGCAGAATGGTTATTGCCACGCATTGGATGCAAGCATGATTTGGCGCCGACTGTCTTTGTTATCTGTTGTGTTCCCAACTACGGGCTATAAAAAATAGCCCCCTAGTGCAAAACTTTCAGTCCATGCCCAAAGAACCCTTTTTTAGGACAAGCAACACATGCAGACATTCTTCTTGATATCCACTGTACATGTAATGCCTGCGTGGGTTTTGAGAGGTCCAGAAGACCAGGAAAAGGCTATACATTATTCTGCAAAATGCAAGTTTAAGGGTGGCTCGGATCTTGCCCTAGCCATCTGCCCAAGGACCAGTTTCACCTTATGCCCAGAACAGCTGGTGGAAGGTACAACAAGAATTGCAACATACAAAACACCTGGAAAACAAAAAGTAGGGGCAGGTCTCTCCAGATACCATGCATTTGTTAATCAGAGGACAAGGGCTCTATTCTCACAGATATTTAAAATAATGATTTCAGTATGCCAATGACTTACACTGGGTACAGTGAAGCTCAGAGTCTGAAGCACCCAAGAATAAAGGTCTGCATAATGTATGGGGATGATTTAACAAGGATGACAGGAAGATGAAAGGCACAGGTGGATTCTTATACCTGGACCACACTACAGCCAATTTATTGCTGTGAGAAGCATGCAACATGGGTGTTAAAGGAAGTGGGTAATTTAAGTTAGCCAGTGCTCATGGTCCCTTAAACAGCAAATTCTCCAACATGTCCCATCCAAGGTCAAGGAAACTGATGTGAATGCTGTTTCCCTGGAATGCATCTATCTCATTCTGTCATGGCTGGAAGATGGAAAGGCTCATTCTACAAGCAGGGATGGTGGGTGAGAACATAAAAGACAGGCTAAGAAACCCCTGCCCTGCCCCCTTTGTGGTCCTGGCCCTGCCATTTCATGACATAGCTCCCATCTACAGTAAGCAGTGCTAACCAACCAAAGAAGCTTGAAAGCTGCATGCATTTTTACAAACATGCCTAATATCTGCGAGTGACCAGAAGTTCAGTAGCTATTTTTACTGAAGCTGTACAAAACGGGATGCTCTCAACCTCATGTTGCCAAGACTGCCACCTTTGTGGTCCTGGCCCTGCCATTTCATGACATAGCTCCCATCTACAGTAAGCAGTGCTAACCAACCAAAGAAGCTTGAAAGCTGCATGCATTTTTACAAACATGCCTAATATCTGCGAGTGACCAGAAGTTCAGTAGCTATTTTTACTGAAGCTGTACAAAACGGGATGCTCTCAACCTCATGTTGCCAAGAGCTGGGACTCCTAACACGTGAGCACATGAGGCAGGGTGCTGCCAGTGGGCAGCTGCTGCATGTTACCCCCTCAGAATGACCCTAATCTGTGAAGTTATATTTACATTTCTAAGCATGCTCATTAATAATAGTAAAGACTTTATTCTGTAGAAGATTTACATAAGGTAATTCTTCTGTTCTTACAGAATTACATTTCCACACTCCCACTCCCCTTTAATGCAGTCGTTGCGCAGAAATGTTTTCAGCTGTTAAGCATCTGCACTAAAGCTTTTCCCCAAGTACATGCACTTGTTTTACTTTCTTCAGAAGGAAGGTACATATTGAAAATATACATCATGCGATACACCAGGAGCTGCACAATACTGCAGATACAGTTCACTTAGCTGCAATAAGTGTTGACAAAAAGAAATGAACTCTTAAGTAATTGCCGCTGCTTTGAAACTACTATATTTTGCATAGGTTAGCAAGAGATAAAACCTGTAATATCTATAGATTAGTATGGCGAATGGGATGGAAGAAATAGCATCTTCTCACAGGTTAGAATATAGACACTTGAGGATTTTTGTATCTTCTTTTTATAAAGAACATTGCACAGTGACCGAAAGATATGGATGGGATTTACACCAAAAAGCCAAATCATACCCTGGACCATCTTTTTCAGTCATCTGTGAGGGTCTGATCCAGTCCAGATAGCAGGAGCCTTTTCATGGACATGAATGAGCTCTGAATTAGATCTTAAGGACAAGAACCTTGGAAAGAGCAGAGGGTATATATGTCCAGCTGCTGAGATGGCCTTTCCGTAGGATAATTTTGTGCAAAGCCACGGAGATGCTTGCATGTGAGGATGACTGATTAAAGGTGACATGGTAGTTGATGCATGTGACTACTGGTCTGGTTTAGCCATGACCTGACAATCAAAATTTCCCTTCATTTAACAGAGGGTAGATGTCTTTCCTCGCGCTTGTACTTCCCTTGCCTATCAAAGCTAAAAACAAAGGAGTGGAATTTGTAAAAGAACACCCAGATCTTCTCTAGTGCTCTTTATCAATGGATCTCAAAGCGGTTTCTGAAGGAGGTCTGGGTCATTAGTACTCTGTCACAGATGAGGAAGTTCAGATACAATCTTGCAGTAACTTGTCCACAGTCACTGGGCTGATGAGCAGCAGAGTAGAGAACAAAAGCCAGGTCCCTAGGCTGCCAGTCCAGTGCTCTGTCCTCTTGGCCAGAATGCCAGAGATACTAGATTTGATTCTCAATTGTCTGGCATCTTGTAAAACCAGTTACTCAGATGCACAGCGAGTAACTGCAGTGCATAATACTTTTTAACCAGGTAGAATTCTATACCCACTGGGTACAAACGTGACTGCAGGAAACTGGAGAATCAAGCCTACTAGATTGTCTCTAGAAAGATGCTAATGTTTTTCAGCTTCAGGTACAACAACCAAGTTGTATTTCATTGTTCACTTTGGATGAACAGGCTGCAACTGCTTCAGAGAAAGCCAAGTGGGCTTATTATGGTCTAAATTCCTTCCCTTGGCAAGTGCTGGCACAAGCCTTATGCACCACTGAAGTCCCTACAAAAGGCTCCAAGTGGTGCATAACTTTATGTTGGTCTTTTGGACAAAAGTTAACTTAATCCCATGAGACAATTTTCTCTTGTATATCTATTTAAAGGCCTCTAGTGCAGTAATTAATCCCACTATTCCCAAACCTAGTTACCTGCTAGTTTGAAACAGTTTTAGCTTGTTGGTGGCTCTGCATGTTTTCCGTTTGGCTTTGGAGAAAAACCCAAGGGATGGGACCTTCCCAAATCCTATTAACATAGAAGCCGAAATGGTGATTTCAAGATTTTGAGCCTTTAGTTTGAAGTCCTCTCTCCTTTCTTCCAAGGAGGTATTTACATTTTGCACTTTTCCCCCCCCCCCCCCCTTAACTGTATACAAACAGCACATTTCCAAATGGAAGAGACATTCACTCATTTTGATGGACTCTTTTAATCGAGTTCAAGTTTGCCAACTCAATCTGCAAGGCACCTTGAACGTCCACAAATAAGTTTCCTCCTAGTGCAAAATTAAAGGTTCTAAAATATGCTTCCTTCACGTATGTGACCACAACCTGACTTAATCGTCTTTGTAATTAACAGATTTAAAAGCATTAATGGCTCTTATTCGAGACGGATGCATTTTCGCTGCAGCAGGTATTCAAAACATTATTTCCTCTGACAAACCCAAAATACTTCACTTTACTGACCTCTGCATTGCGTGAATGTGTGATGTTTTTTCCACTAATGTAGACAAGAACTAAAAAGAGATTCTTGATTACCAAAGGCAGTTAGTTACTCTATTTCTGTTGGAAAACCGTAGGACTGGGCCTCCAGCTTCCATTAGTATCTTTTAAAAGCCTCGCCTGAAAACAAGATGTGGATAAAGGAATAAGTTTAACCCCTGTTGTTACAGAGGAGTTGGCATTACTTTGTACAGTGGCTGCCTTGGTAAATGTTGAATCCTGGTAGAAGAATCCATCCAAATAAGCTAAGGCCAAGAGTTGTGTTAGTAACTCAAGGGTGTCAGGATAAGATGATTCCTTCATCATCCTCATGTGTAAACACGGCTTCTCAAAGACTGCTATTCATCCAAGAAAAACAGCTGCCCCCACTATCTTTTTAGGGAACAAACAAACCCATACCTTATTTATCACAAATGTAAAGCATTTGACTTGCTCCCTCTCTTACAGTAATAACCACAACGAACCATCTTGATGGTATTAAGTAACCCTGTACCTTTATGCCATCATATGCACCAGTCTTTTTTGGTACGGAGACTGGATAACAGTTGGTTTTGTGTGGTCTCTACTGGGCTCTTTGTGCCTTCTAACCTAATGTGCAGGCTGAGGATAGTTTCATCCATTTAAAAATTAATCTCCCACCTCTTTTAAAATTAGCTACAGTCTTCCTACTTCAAGTATTCCACAGTTCTCTTTTGGAACATTTACTTATCAGTGGCAAGTCGTGTCTTATACCTGGGGCTAATCATAGACCTTATTAAAAGGTGTGAAGTTTCCATTGATTTGTTTTGTGTTCCCTTCCCTAAACCATGAAGAGCTACTTCAAAAACAGTAAAAAGAACATTCACATCTGCTTATTTAATGACATTATTAACAACCCAGTGCCTTTATAGGTTTGCTTCGAGAACCCTTGAACAAGTTCTATCAGATTTAAAATCTTAAACATTCTTTAAAAGTACTTTAATTCACACAAATCTCTTGGTTTCTAATATACAGTAGATGGTTACTTTTTTAAAATCCATTCTCTTTTCATATATTTTCAGTATCTGACTATACAATAACTTTCTATCTAAATCTTTTTCATGTTTTCCAGTCCAATTTGCCTGTGCTTTAGGAATAATAAAAAACAACAACAACCAAAAAAATAATAAAATTCTATCAACAATTTTACTAAGATCATTTCCATTCTTCTCATGTAAAGCTTCTCCTGGAAAGTGCAGTATACACATGTAATGATACAACACACTTAAGCAATACTTTTATTATTAAGTGTAGATTTTAAAAGAAGATTAATGGACAGCAGACACTATTAATGGTTAGTCCTATTTACAGAATTTGTTAAACTAAACGTTGGTGTGGGGAAAACTGGAAATAGGAGAGAAATACTCATGGACTTACTGTCTTTTCCTCTCAGGGAGAGGTCAGTACATATATAATTTAGTCATTCATACTTTCGCACATGGGAAACTGCACTTTTACTAATACAGCTACATACACATACACAAGGTTAGCAGTAAGCTAGCAATGACTCCACTATAGGAGGAAGAGTCCTTCTATTTAGAAATGATTTTTAAATATATGATGGAAACTCTGGATGTTATGATCATAAGCCAATGGAAACAAGTTTAGCTTATCTGGTTAGTTGAAAAAACTAAGCATGTTCAGGTAAAAAAAGTAAAAGGTAAATACCATCAAGTATCACTGAGCTTGCCAGCACTCATTTCAGACCGTCTAAGCTGACTACATGCTTGTTCTACAAAGACTGAAAATTTGAATAAAGTATACAGTAACTTCTGTCTACTGAAAAATGGTTCCATACTTAACTGTGTTGCACTTTTTGTAGTTACAAGGGAAAACCCAAAACAGATACCGGACTTTTGACTAAAGCCAGGATTAAAAACAAAACACAAACAACTGCTGGACAATTTGGTTTGTACACCATTTACAGTATTTTATCTAAAACACCAAAAAAAAACAAACAAAAAAACCAAAAAAAAAAAAAATCACAAGAGAATACATCTGTTGTTGCCACAAATGCCCTTTTCAGCCGGAAGTTAAATTAACACAAAGCTATCACAGCCACACTCACATTTACTTAGTTCCAATTTGTGAAATGCTTAATTTGGGGTCATTCTTGCAGCTTGAATAATTTATTTTTATTTTTACTGAGAAAGCGCAGTCCATTCATAAGCAGGATTGATAACAGCAAACCTTTAGCTGGGGTGTGGAAAACTCTCTCAATATACATGATTACCTTAAGCTCTATGCAGCTTTCCAATTTTTTTTCTTCTCCGGCATATAGTGCCAGTTTAAAAACATTTTCCCTAACCTGTCTCCTACAGGAGAGGGACAGCTCTAGTGATTTTCTCTCTTCTTTTCCTTTTGCCCATTGATCAGGAAAAACCCAAATGATATCACACCTTAGTCAGCACTCTCGCTTAAGGAAAAAGGAATGCTGTTTCTAGCAAGGTTCATACATTAGGCTACAGTTAACTAATTCATTTACAGTTAAGCTTTCAGTGAAGCTATGTATAAAATTTCAGCAGAGTGGCAAATGACAAGTAGTGCTCTCCTTAGACACAGGCTAGTAAAGACAGGTGCGTAAGGAACCACAGCAGGTTGTGCCAGGAATGCGCTGTAAAACAACTATCTGGAGGACAGAAACTGAATTCTTTCCTGGGATATGAGAACAGGGGGAAAAAGCCTGTTGGTAGATTTTTTTTATTTTTAATTAAAAAAAAAAAAAAAAAAAAAAAAAGAAAAGAAAAGAAAAAGAAAATGCAACTGAAGGTTAACTCCTCTGGAAATGAAAACGTAGATTAGGTACTTTACAGAAACTGCGTCTGCTACGGGGTCACTGCTACAGGTCTATGAGCTGATCCACCAGCAGTAAAGACCTGGCTATGTTGGGAAGACTTGACTCAGAGCTTCCACTGTTGTTTCTAGAATGCCCACCTGAAAGTGTGAGAGAGAGCAATTCAGTATCAAGCAGGTTAGTTTCAGATGTTTAGAGCAAGCAAAGAGAGAATAACCAGAAAAAAGCAACTTTAGCTACGCTAAGCTGCTCTGTCATACAATTACTATTGTTGTAGCTACCCCTAACATTTAGCAATGAGCGGTCCCTTATAGAAGTGTTACCGATAGGTTAACAGGCATAAAAGCCAATAGACTTCTTTAGAAATTCCTTTTAAAAGCTATCCATAGAAGCCATCTCCCTTTCTACACTACTTATAATCAACCTCTAGAGATTTCTCTAGAGAATTTCATCCCTGCTACAGAATTGTTTGATAGTGCTAGAGAAGGATTTTGTTCTCTTAAAATGTAATACATGCAGATTAATTTTTACAAAAAGAATAAGTTCCTAGGTCATTTACAGCAAATTCAGAGGGTTTCTGGGTGCTTTCATTCAAGTCCTTGGAAAAACCATCCACCAACTTAAAATGGGAACAGAACAGAGGTCAATAGTAAGTACTTTTGAGACTCCCAACCTCCATGGCTCAGTATTTCTTACTAGGAGGTTTCATTCTTTCCAAGCTAATATTAGATACAGAGCAGATGTACAGCATGCACCATGCTGTAAGAGAAAGGATATCTGGAGATCAGGGAAAGAAAAGCATCTACTGGGGAGGGAAAAAAATATAGCTCATGCTATCAAAGTTTACCTTCTTGCAAAAATAAAAAATAATTTCTGCAACCAGGCTGCAGGAAAACAAGTCATATATGACAGGTGGCATTGCAAATAAAGCGTCTTCGCTCTGTTCCTAAGAAAACTATTAACAAAGCAGGACTAGGCTGCCAGGAAGAAGCCTTAACAACATGGGCTGGAGCTTCCACGACTGCTCAAAAGGAGCTGGATGCCCATTCTCCCCCATTGGGCTTTGAACATATCAGTCAGAAATCGCCATCAATTTGATTTCAGGAGAGGTCTGAAGGTAGAAAATAATCTCCTTTCCTCAATAAGTATCCTTCCAGTCATTTTATGGAGACCGAATGCAGGCTTTACACAAAAAGGGTATCTAGTACAACTTAACCATGGAAATACTTAACTGAGTTGACCCAGACTGGGAGGAAAAAACGAGGTATTGGTGACTCCTCGGGTACCAAGAGACTTGGACATTTAAACCCAGTCTCCTATCTGCCTAGGCCTCATTATCCTCTCACTTCCATGCTGGAGTTATTTGGGGCATGCCTACACAGCACAATGTAGTACCACGCAGAGATACCCAAGTTTGCTTGAATACCGGAAGCAAGACAGCAAATGTTACCACACTACTCTGTACCATCTAATATACCCTGCTTCTCAGCGGTGTTAATTAGCCAGCATACCATGCTGCATTAACCTGGCTATATTGCTTCAAATACCCCGAGACTAAACTCCTTCAGAGTTAAACTTGGGTATTTCTCCACGTTGCTGCATTGCATTGTTTCAACATCCTCTTGTTAGTATGACAGTACAGTCAGACAAACAAGTTTGAATGAGAAAAGAATTAGGCTCATTGAACACTACAAAGGGTATCCCCAGCGGTCAGCATTACTTCGCATACACTGTAGCTTCACTGCCGAAAAAAAACAGGCTGTCCTGATACGTTTTTTTAGTTTAAATCCTGTCTTACCTTGTGAATTTTTGGATATCAACACTGGGATGGGGTCAAACTCATCTTCTGTCACTTTCTCAGAGCCCTCAGGTGCATCAAAGCCTGATATCAGATTAGTATCTTCTGCAGCAGGAGGAAGAAATGGAAGTAAAGAAGCAAAGATAGCAAAGAAAGCATGTTAGAATTGACAAAGAGAGTTAGGACATATTTATTTTAAAAGAAAAGGTTAAAAAGGATGAGCTTTTTTGCAAAGTTGAAATAAACCTAGTAAGTTTAAGGAGGTGGTAAGCAAAAGAGCCAATCACTAAACACAAGGGAAAATGAAAAAGGGGGAAGGAAAAACAAAATAGCTGTACCAACTTGTGACAGTCAAAATACAATTTGGCTGACCCATGGACTGAGCGTTTGGCACATTTTGCAGCCATAAGTCAGGGCTTAAGGGATTACTTTAGTATTTCATGGGCTTGCTTTAAAAGACTTTACTTTTTCAGGGCTTACTTAGTATTTCATGACCAGCACAGATTCTGGGGTGATGGCTGAGTGGGATGGAAGTGTCCATCATCTCACTCGCCATCTGAGGCACCATTACAAACCCAGAGAACAGTCAACCTCCTTGTTCTCTGAAGGGAGTTTTAAGGAGGGAAATGGTAGCCCCGAAGAAGGGACAGGAAAAGAAATGGGTTATTGAGATGGGCCAAGACCCTTGAGT